CCCACCCCGGGTCCGACGTCAGCACGCCCCCCGGCCCCGCCCCGGTGACGTTCCGAGGCCCGGCGCCCTCCGCCCGCTGCTGCACCTGTGTGCACACTCTACCTGTGCAGCCGGTGGCTCGCGCTGAAGGAGATGCGGCGGGACACTTGCGCCTTGGGACGACGGCCGCCACCCACCACGCTCATCATCTTCTCGGCGCCCTCTGCGCCGCTCGGCCGGCACCTTCTCCCGCGGCGCGGCCTGCGCCTCCCTCCGCGGCTGCGCAGTGCGGGCCGGCGCGCCCCTGGGGAGCGCGGCTCCGCTTTGGCTCCGGCCAATCCCGGTCTTGGGAAACAGTTACGCGCGTCCCTCGCTGTTTGAATCTCTTCCGAGACCAAGAGTTCCCAGAGCTAAGACTACCCTGGAGCGGTCACGGTGAGTGGGGACTCGGTGTCCTTGATCTGTCTGTCTGCTCCGCCTGAGGTCACGCCACGTGGTTAGGGCCCGTCTGGGCACACTTTGGATCCCGAGTCACCTCTCTGAGCCTCCCCTCCCACTCTCTCCTGTAAAGCTCCAGTGGCTGGTGACTAGCGGATGAGCCCCAGGGCCACAGTCCGCTTTATATACCAAAAGGAGCAGGAATTGAGCCAGGCGGGTGAGGTGGCGCACTCCTGTAGCCCCAGCTGTTGGGAAGGAGAGGGATCCCGTCAACCCAGGAGTCCAACCTGGGCAATAGAGCAAGACGCTCGTTCCTTTAAAAAATTTTTTTAAAAAAAGCAGGACTTGAGAGCACGAATAGGACCACGTGGCAACAGTCCTTTGGACTGTTGTGTAATGATTCTTACTAAGGGAGATTCTAAAGTCATTTTTATCATCCACAAGCGTGTATGGACCCATTTATCACTCTGGGTGATGAACCATATGGCACAGTGTGAACACAGGCACCTCTGAACACATATTAGCAATTTTCCGGCCAGTGTAAGACACGTTGAGAGTGAAAGGACCTTGTTTCCTCACATCTACTCACAAGGGTGTCCAAACTACACACAGTTCCCAGAATCATGTCACCTCTTGCTTCCATTCATTCTTTCATTAAATATGTATTAGGCAGCTTCTGTGTGCCTGGCATTGTGCCAGGTACTGGGGAGGACAGCTCCACTGTGTATGAGAAAAATCAAATGATGAAAAGCAGGACAAGTACAGTGATTAATAACAGACTTGGAAAAGTTTCCTGTAAAAGGAAAGATAAAATCATGGAAGTGATAGAAATAAGCTCAAATGGTGGTTTCCTTCAAACATCTCCTATTTACAGCTGTATATCTGTTCTGCATTAAACTACTAACGTTATTTAGCAAACACCCTCTCTACATTTTCAGATGTTTGTCTCATCTACCCCACTGGACTGTAAAGAAAAAACTTCAAAGAAGATTCAGAGATTTTCGAGATAGAGACTATTTAGTTCAATACTTTCACTTTACAGATAAAAAAACAGCCCCAGATAAGTGAATTACTATTGCAAGATCACTCAGAACAGAAACATTATCTCCCAGGTATTGACTGTCTCAGAGCTAAATACTCTCTAACAGTCAGTGGTTACACAAATAGTTGCTCATTCCAAAACCAGTTTAATGAATCAAAATGAAAGAGAAAATTCTGTAAAATTATTTTTATTAATAATACTGGTTTGTTTTAGTAAAATATTTCACTGCATTTGCAGAGTTGGAGTTTAACCTATTTGGAAATAGGATTGTTGCACATGTATTGGGCCATAATCCAACATGACTGATGTCCTTGTAGAAAGGGGAAACTTGGACTCAAAGACTGACAACGTACAGAGGGAAGACGATGTGAAGACACAGAGACAACACCATCTCCAAGCCCAGGAGAGGGGATTGGAACAGATCTTTCTTCAGAGCCCTCAGAAGGGACAAACCAACCTTGATTTCAGACTTCTAGCCTCCAGAATTGTAAGACAATTCATTTCTGTTAAGACCTCTGTAGTACTTTGTTATGACAGCCCTAGCAGACTCACACACTAACCAATAAGCAAATAACATTCCTCTTAACTTAGCTTTCAGTGCTTTGAGATCAGCAGCCATTTAAGTGTAGTTCCCACTTCACTCTTGCAACATTTACTGGCTTGTGTTTGACTGCCTTGTCTCAGAAGGCTAACTTCTATTAAAAGATACCATAAGCTACTCCAATGGACATACACTGGCAAGGCAGGCCCCATGTCCATCACCTTCCAGTCCTCATTCACTTATTAAGTAACAAAAGAAAAGTGTTTAATTAACATCTACTGAATACCAAGTGCACTGCTAAGTGCCAGGGGCACACTATGAGTAACAAACACATGGTCGCCATCCTCATACAGTTCAGGTTAGTGAGACAGCTAAACACAGAAATCATGACAAACTAAACAAAAAAAAAACCAAAAAACTAATTCTCCCTCAGAAAGTAAAAGAAGGCTTCAAAGAAGAGATAATTTTTGGGCTGGATTTTAAGGTTCACCAAGTAGATAAGGGAATTCTAGGAAGAGACAATAATGTAAGCAAAGGAAATGTGGAAGAGTACAACTTGTTTAGTGCATATTGACAAGTTCTTGGTTACAGTGGGAACATAAGTGAGAGGTAAGATTGGAAACATTAATTGGGGACCAAATTATTGAAAGTTCTTGAATGTCACTTCAGTATAAAGGAGACTTCAACCCCTTATCTCCCTCCTGGCTCCCCGCAAGAAGGGAATTTTCATCTGCTTGAATCACATTTCCAGGCACTGGTTGGGTCTTACTTACAGGCAGGCCTACAATGTGTTAACAGTACCACACATGGTGTGGCTTACTCTCTGGAGCTATGCTCAGAGGAAAAATAAAACAGAAAACGAGGCAAAGCTCTCTCCTACTCCCCCTGCACCAAGGAGGCCTAGCTGTCTGGTTCATATTTTTTTCTACTGCTTCCCTCCTGTGGAGGACCCAACCTGCCCACTTGCCTCTTCCTTTTCCCCTCAGTTGTGCACCACTTGCTCCCTTTCCTTGAATCCTCAGACACTGGCTAGTGTTAAGAGTTAGACTTAGGGAGGAAGAGGCCCAGCCTATGCTTTGGGCCTTGGTCATATGCTTACTCACTTTTACCAGAACTTTCTCCCTTGGATTACCAGGCAAATGTGCCTAGATTATATAACATGCCATGATCCTTTTTTTTTTTTTTTTTTTTTTGTCTTCTCCTTCAAGAAACTTAAAAGAGCAGAGCCAAGGCAGAATTCAGATATCCTTAGGTCAAAATGTTATGATTGTACTGCTATCCTTCATATGTCTGAACTTCATTCCCTGTGTATTAAGATAGAGATTTATAAACAGAGGAAAGATGTGACAGATCTATAGACTCCCCAGAGGTCATCCAGAGTCTCCCTCACCCTTCAGATCTCGTAAGACCAATCAAATCTCCATGTTTTGTCTGAGGAAGTACAATGACTGCCTTTTCAGGGACTTGTGTGAGAGGAAACACTGGAGGACTTACATTCTCATGGTTACCTGAGGCTCTTTGCATCTACATCTGCTGTATTAGTTCTGTTTAGGCATCTTCTTGCCATTCTAAACATACTGCTGTGTTCTGCATCTCACAAACCCAGACATGGAACTCAGCCCTTTTACTTTATTCACCGTGCAAAGCCCCACACGTGGCATTTGCATGTATGCAATACATCACTAAAGAAGATAGGGTCTGTGAAGTTTGAAGTGACTCTTAAGGAAAATTAGACAGGAAACTCTGTTAGTCCAGGACCGTGCAGAGAGCCTAACCATGAGTTCACAGGTGTCCCATATTATATGTGGGGGTCTTCTCTAGCACATTCACCATGCAGAAGGAGCATAAAAAGTTTGGTCCTGGAATGGAATTCAGTGGAGGGAAATGAGTGTAACTGAAGGAAAAGGGAACAAGGGATTTTGGGGGTGTTGGTAAGAGTGGTTTAAGTAACAGACCTCGCCTGCTTACAGCTGTTGGTAAGAACAGGCAGGGTTTAGAAATGTGGAGATTATATGGTCTCTAGTGCCACCTGTTGCCCAGTTAAATGAAGAACGACTGGTTTGTCATCAATCCCTGTAGAACTATACACCTACAGATTAGAAGAAATGTCTGATTTTAGTGATGTTCCTCAAAATAATCTCCCAAAGCAGAGCTGAGGGTGGGGAGGGGCAGGTAGTGGGTGGTACATAAGAGGGTTGTGCAGCTGCATTAGCATCTGCTGTGGACAGCAGAGAAAGAACCAGTTTAGAAGAAGCTTTCAAGCAAGATATAGCCAGCTTCAGGTCTTCTGAGTACCTTACGACCAATGGTAATAGGCAGACTGTGATGGAAAGAACAAGGTGCTTTTCAGATTTATATTCAAAGTCTACTATCTATGATCATTTATATTTCTTCTCCTAGGACCTCTGTCACCCACCAATCTGATGGTGGAAATTGACAGACCAGGAGCACGATTATTTTGGACAAACCGCCACTTTAAACCTCATGCATTTCAAAGAAATCACTTCTCTTCTAACTACAAGCAAACAGAAAAAGCAGACAGTAAAACACAAATAAAACAGCTCAGGGTCAGAGGGAAGTAAGGGGAAAGTCTCTTAGGTAACTGCCAAATTTCACCCTCATATAGTGTAAAACAGTGGGCCTTAATAAGCACATTCCTTTCTCTTCAGGTGCACTAAGACAGGGAAGCTAAAAGCAGACTTGTGGGGTATGCCTATGGCTGCAAAAAAAAAAAAATGTATGGGAACAAACACACAGCTCTCCCTCCTAAATAAGTACAACAAAGACCCACAGAAGCAGTCCAAGCCTCTGGTAAACTCTCCCACCCTAAATCCTTAAAAACTCTTAGTCTGTAAAAAAGTGTGCCTCTAACCTAACTCTGCCAAAAGGTTTCTCTCAGGTTTGTTTTCTCTAAAATAAACCTGTCCTAACTGGCAAGCCACCTTTCATGTTTCTTTCCTCTTTCTTTAATTCTTAATGACCAAAATACATGAATTTTTCTTTGCTATATTCCTATTATTACCTAGAGGTAGATATATCCAATAAATGAAATTTAAAACTCTCTTCAAAAGGTTATATCAATACTTTCTTATTTCAAGGAAGAGCCCTAAAAAATAGATAAAATCATAATCATCTTATGCATTCTGCTTTGGGGTGTTTTTTCTTAAGAAACATGAGTGCCAAAGTTTTACTTGTTCATTTCTTGCATTTGAAGTACTCTTGGCCTACGCTTCTTTGCCATAGTCCTTAAATACTACACAACTGCAGCCAACCACTTTTTGGGGTTTTCCCTCTGTCAGTTTTACAGAGGCCTACCCATTCCCCTGGTTTCTTGTTGTCATCAGCCTTAATTAGGGTGAGTTGATGTTCAGCACCGTGAGCCTCCACCAACTTGACATACATAGGCTCATTGCAGTTGGGTGCAAGCAGACAAAGGTGGGCTTGGTGCTTATCTAAGGCTTTGGCAGCTTCACAAATTGCACATGCTAGGCCATCATGGGTGAGGGCAGTCTTCCGCATCTCTTGTAAAGCAGTGTTAACATCCATGACACCTCCAGCCTCCATTGCCCACGATGGTGGGTTAAGGGTAAAAGAGGAGGTCAGATGCATTCGAGCCTCTGTCATGGCATGACTTGGCAGTGGCAAGGAAATAACGAATTCTATTTTTAACAGAAATTTTTAAACCAAATGTCTATTTGGGACATTGGTGTGAGAGGTAAGGTGCCCTTTTTGCTCCGTCTTTTATATAAATAAAAGTGCATTCTTTGTTCTTTTTATTTTTACTTTAGATTCTTGGGTACATGTACAGGCTTGTTACATGGGTATATTTTGTGATGTTGTGGTTTGGGCTTCTAGGGACCCCACCACCCAAATAGGGAACACAGTACCCACTAGGTAGCTTTTTAACACCCGCCCGTCTTTCTCCTTGCCCTCCTTTTGGAGTCTCCAGTGTTTATTTCTCCAGTCTTTCTGTCCAAGTCCACACTTACTTTAAACCTAGTTTCCAGACCTTCTGGTTGTCCAATCAGATGGGTATGAATGTACCATGGAACCCATAAGGCATCTGCACAGGTACCTCTGCTCGGCCCAGCTCTTCAAAGTTCTTGGCATCCAAAACTAGGAGAAAATTGCTTTCATTCTAGAAAAGGAAAGACAATATTGAAAATTCTCTTTTTTTCATCAAAATTTTGCCTGTCTCCTCCACAAGGCTGTAAAATTCCTAGTAGAGAAACAATGTTGGTCAGGCACGGTGGCTCACACCTGTAATCCCAGCACTTTGGGAGGCTGAGGTGGGTGGATTGCTTGAGCTTAGGGTTGAAGACCTGCCTCAGCAACATGGCAAAACCTCATCTCTATAAAAAATACAAAAATTAGCCAGGCATGGTGGTGCACACCTGTAGTCCCAGCTGCTCAGAGGCTGAGGCAGGAGGATCGCTTGAGCCTGGGAGGCAGAGGTTGCAATGGGCTGAGATTGTGCCACTGCACTCCAGCCTGGGTGACAGAGCAAGACCCTGTCTTAGAGAGAGAGAGAGACCATGTCTTACACATCTTCCTATCTCTCCCCAGCACCTACCACAGTGCCTCACCTATACACTCACAGAATGTTGCCTCAATTGCTGAACTGGACTGAAAAGGAAATCATGGCTAAAGAAGTTCATACCTAGAGCAAATAAATTAAGTTGTTTCTATCATCACCTTCATAGGATTTCTTTGAGTTTAATCCTTTTGCTTCCTCCTTTCCAATCTTCTAAAAGACAGGAACTCTTTCTTCCAAGTTAGAAATGCCTCCATTTTGTGTTACTTTGGAGCTGGTCAAAGGGCAGTACTGCAAGGCAGACTGAGCTCTGCCAGATTTAATTCCAGGAGTGACAAGTGCATGGCATGAGGACAAAGTCCTCCTAAAGTCCATGGCAGACATGACTGATCACAGCCTTTTTCTCACTGAACCCTTAAAAGGCATCAGAACCCTGCACCCCAGGCAGCCACTAATAATTAATCAAAGCTGATACTCAAAGTGAACCTGTTTGCCATAAGATTTCCCTAGACAAGAAGTCAGATGGTGAATAGTGTTATTGAGACACTGGACCAGGACTAATGGCACTGGACTTGGAGGTCAATTCACTGCAATTGGCAGCACACATGATGGTATAAACATCAGACTGGGAGTCAGAAGACTTGGATTTAAATACTGCTTTACCACTATGAGATCTGATGCAAGTCTACTTCAACTTCTTCACTTTAGAAATTCCACATGTGGCCGGGCGCGGTGGCTCAAGCCTGTAATCCCAGCACTTTGGGAGGCCAAGGCGGGTGGATCACGAGTTCAAGAGATCGAGACCATCCTGGTCAACATGGTGAAACCCCGTCTCTACTAAAAATACAAAAAACATTAGCTGGGCATGGTGGCACGTGCCTGTAATCCCAGCTACTCAGGAGGTTGAGGCAGGAGAATTGCCTGAACCCAGGAGGCGGAGGTTGTGGTGAGCCGAGATCGCGCCATTGCACTCCAGCCTGGGTAGCAAGAGTGAAACTCCGTCTCAAAAAAAAAAAAAAGAAGAAATTCCACATGTATAAAATGGTATCCGGCAAAGTTGTTTTGATAACTAAATATGTGTAAAAGTAGTTCATAAATAACAAATTCCTATGCAAATATAAATTGTTATTATGGTCTTACAAACAGAACTTTAAAACAATAAAATATGGATTGAGATAAAGGGGTATGTAAATAGTGAGGAGGGGAAGAGAAGGGAGAAGGAATCAAAGTAAATTTTTGACAGCATCAGTGTGCATCCTTGATTTATCAGATGACTCTGCTACTTTTCTTTCTGACTAGTGCTAGGGAAATATATTTACCTGGTTGGGAGTGATCACCACAGAAAGAATAACCCCACCATCTTCTTCATTGCTTCCTGGTACTGGAACAAAAATAGGTTCTGAGGGATAAAAGCCATCTTCTCTCCAAACCTGCAAGTCCCAGAAAAAGCATTCAATAAAAGGCCAGTAGTTAAGTAGGGAGCTTTCTATGGCTTTTGCCACTCCACGCATGAATTTGGCTGTGATACAGTTTGTATGTGTGTCCCATCCAAAGCTCATGTTGAAATGTGGGCCTGGTGGGAAGTGTTGGGTGATGGGGGCCAGTCTCTTATGAACAGCTTAAGTGCCATCCCCATGGTGATAAGTGAGCTGTCACTCTATTAGTTCATCTGAGAGGTGGTTGTTTTAAAGGACCCTGGCACCTCCTCCTCTCTGTCTTGCTCCCACTCTCTCACCATGTGACATGAGTCTCCCCCTTGCCTTCTGCCATGATTGTATGCTTTCTGAGGCCTCATCAGAAGCTGAGCAGATCCTGGTACTGTGCTTGTACATCCCACAGAACCATGAGCCAAATAAATAAACCTCTTTTCTTTATAAATTACCCAGCCTCAGGTATTTCTTTATAACAACACAGAACAGATTAACACAGGCTGTCAATAGAATATTCCAAAAGAAAAAGAATCAGGCCTACTGAGTTGAATATCGGAGAAAGGAGATTTTGCAGTCCCAGATATTCCATCACCATCAAACACAACTTGTGTAACTATAATTTCCCATCAACTTGAAACATAGGTGTCCCAACAACCCTAACCCCACAGTTGCTCCAAAAATAACATCAAGATCAAACAGAGAATTAATTTTGCTGTGCTTAGGGTCCATTTGGATTTCCTAGAAGGAACATACCCTTAACTTAGATGATTTCATAGTTCTCAAACCTAATAAAAGAAAATGGCTGTGCTGTTTAAATGTTGAAGAATCTTAAGAGCTACGTTAAATAAAACAAATTCAAAGGGAAGAACAGGTCTCTGAAAAGTTCAAAAAGGAAAGAGATTTTCATCACCTTCAGCGTCTTATTCACCACATCAACCTTGATCAGAGAATCCCCCAACAAATGCCGAAAGCCACAGCCATAGAAGAAACGATACTTTTTGCCATTGAATTGGGCATAGTTGATCTGAGGAAATTCAATGCCTCCTTCCTTGTCTAGGTCCTCATGATGTAGATTTTCATGAGAGCACCAGATCTAAGAGAGATTTCAAAAGGTTTTCTAGTGGTTGCTTAATTTTTTTTTTTTTTTTTTTTTTTTTGAGACAGAGTCTTGCTCTGTTGCCAAGCTGGAATGCAGTGGCGCGATCTCAGTTCACTGCAACCTCCACCTCCCGGGTTCAAGCAGTTCTCTGCCTCAGCCCCCCCGAGTAGCTGGAATTACAGGTGCCTGCAACCACACCCAGCTAATTTTTGTATTTTTAGTAGAGACAGGGTTTCACCATCTTGATCAGGCTGGTCTTGAACTACGCATCTCGTAATCCACCCACCTCAGCCTCCCAAAGTGCTGGGATTACAGATGATGGTTGCTTAATTCTTATTTTCCTCTTACATAGGTCAGTGAGGAGCCTAGTATCCTATAAAAGTTTGTGACAGGACTTGGGAACTGAGGTTCTATGTCATTTTTGAATATTGTTCCTCTTTCCATCATACATGTGGATGCATAATGATTATCAAGTTTTATTAATAAGCTATCAAGTGGCATAGGAGATCGACATATGCTTTTCATTCTTCTAAAGCTAAAGCATTGACAGCCACACAATGATAGGCCTGTGCTAAGCACATATTATCTAAAAGGTAGTGATTGCAGCTGGACGCGGTGGCTCACGCCTGTAATCCCAGCACTTTGGGAGACCGAGGCAGATGGATTACCTGAGGATAGGAGTTCGAGACCAGCCTGGCCAATATGGCAAAACCCCGTCACAACTAAAAATACAAAATCATTAGCCAGGCATGGTGGCAGGTGCCTGTAATCCCAGCTACTCAGGAGGCTGAAGCAGAATTGCTTGAAAATGGGAGGCAGAGGCTGCAGTGAGATGAGATGGCACCACTGCACTCCAGCTTGGGTGACAGAACAAGACTCCATCTCAAAAAATAAAATAAAAAATAGAAGGTAGGAATTGCTAATGCCAAGCTCAAATGAAGAGACATTCCACAACCATTAGACAGTTGCATATCTCTGTTTCAAAGCACAGGAAGAATAAACACTGTGTTCATTACCACTGTTTCTGTGATTCTTGTGCAAGCAATGTTACATGACCTTACCCTGCTCAGATGCATGTTATAAAAGTTATTGGGTACCAAACATTTTGGAAAACTGCTAATGAATAAAGTAACACCACTGAAGTTCAAAGTCTTAATCTAATGTCTGTTCATGGAATACCTTTCCATCAGCCTGTTTCACAGCACTGGCTGAAGTATAGGACAATGGACTCAGGTTTTCTCCCTCAGGGGCATTCAAACTGACATTTAAAGGCAAAACAAACCTTCGCGGGAAAGATCTGACTGCTGAATTATAGACCTGTTTGGAAAGAAGAAAGAGATGAAAATTGTCATTCATATGATAACATCTAACTTTTGACTCAAAAATTTAACTACTAATAGCCTATTGTTGACTGGAAGCCTTACCAATCACATAAACAGTTAATTAACACATATTTGGTATGTTATATGTATTACATACTGTATTCTTACAATAAAGCAAACGAGAAAAGAAAATAAGAAAATGTTATTAAATGCCAAGCGTGGTGGCTTAAGCCTGTAATCCCAGCACTTTGGGAGGCCAAGGCAGGTGGAACAGCTGAGGTCAGGAGTTCGAGACCAGCCTGGCCAATATGGCGAAACTCCATCTCTACTAAAAATACAAAAATTAGCTGAGCATAGTGGCAGGTGCCTGTAATCCCAGCTACTTGGGAGGCTGAGGCAGGAGAATCACTTGAACCCAGGAAGCAGAGGTTGCAGTGAGCTGAGATCACACCATTACACTCCAGCCTGGGCGACAGGAGCAAAACTCTGTCTCAAATAAAGTAAAATAAAATGCTATTAAAAATCATAAGGAAAATATATTTACTATTCATTAAGTCATAGTAGATCATCATAAAGGTCTTCAGTCTCATTGTCTTCACATTGAATAGTCTGAGAGGGAGGAAGAAGAGGGGTTGGTCTTGCTATCTCAGGAGTGGAGAGGTAGAAGAAAATTTGCATATAAGGACCCATATCATTCAAATCCAAGTTGTTCAGAGTCAACTGTACAACATCTGACTCCACAATCCCTCTCCTAGGTATACACTCAAATGAGATGAAATCACCACCTCATGAAAATAGCTGCACTTGCCATCAAAAATGAGTTTGTGTCCTTTGTGGGGACATGGATGAACCTGGAAACCATCATTCTCAGCAAACTGACAGAAGAGCAGAAGATCAAACGCCGCATGTTCTCATTCATAGGTGGGCGTTGAACAATGAGAACACATGGACACAGGGAGAGGAGCACTACACACTGGGGTCAGTTGGGGGGGAACAGAGGAGGGACGGTGGGGGGTGGGGAATAGGGGAGTGATAGCAGGGGGAAAGAAGCCAGATGTAGGTGATGGGGAGGAAGGCAGCAAATCACACTCCCACGTGTGTACCTATGCAACAACCTTGCATGTTCTTCACATGTACCCCAAAACCTAAAATGCAATAAAATAAATAAATGGGAAAAAAAATCAGAAACAAAGAAATAGAAAAAAAAAAAAAAGAAAGAAAGAAAATAGCTGCACTCTCATGTTCATTGCAGTATTATTCACAATAGCCAAGATATAGAAACAACCTAAATACCCAGTGATGGATAAATTGATAAAGAAAATGTGGTATATACACACAATGGAGTATCATTCAATTTTAGAAAAGGAGATCCTGATGTCTGCCACAACTTGGATGGACCTGGAAGACATTATGCTAAGTGAAACAGCCAGACACAGAAAGAAAAATATTGCATGAGGCCAGGCGCCAGGGCTCACACCTGTAATCCCAGCACTTTGGGAGGCCAAGATGGGCAGATCACCTGAGGTCAAGAGTTGGAGACTAGCCTGGCCAACATGGTGAAACCCGGTCTATACTAAAAATACAAAAATTAGCTGGGCATGGTGGCATACGCCTGTAGTCCCAGCTACTCAGGAGGCTGTGGTAGGAGTATTGCTTGAACCCAGTAGCGAAGGTTGCAGTGAGCCGAGATTGTGCCACTGTACTCCAGCCTGGGTGGCAGAGTAAGACTCCTCTCAAAAATAAATAAATAATAAATAAAAATATTACATGACCTCATTTTTATGTGGAATTTTTTAAAGAAAATCTCAAATACGCAGAGAAAGAGAATGAAACAGTGGTTACCACCAGAGGGGATGGGAAGGCAAAGAGAAGATATAGGTCTAAAGATACCAAACAGTAGATATGTAGTATGAACAAGTCTAGAGGTCTAATGTACAAACATAAGGAATAAAGTTAATAAGACTGTATTTCCTTAGAGATTTTTGTTAAGTAGATTTTAACTGCTCTTGTCACACAAAAAGAGTAACTATATGAGATGTTAGATATATTAATCTGCCTCACTATAGTAACCATTTTACTCTTTACACGTATACCATAACATCATGTTGTAAACCTCGAATATATACAATGAATTTTATTTTTAAAACAAGAACAAAAACAAAAACTGACAAATGGATTCCAACATTTATAGAAATGCAAAAGGCCATGAAAAACCCAGGCAATCTTCAAACAGAAAATAGAAAAACAACTACAGATGTCAAGACCTACCATAAAGCTACCAGTAAACTTAGTAAGACATAAGTAAACTTAATAAGTACTGTTTTACAAACATTTTAAAAGAAAATTATAGCTAAAAAACAAAGCTACAGCTAAAAACAATTTATATTACACAATTCAAGGAAAAACTTTACTTTGGATTCAGTATCAGGAAAAAGTGAATCCCCTCAACTAGGTGAACTGATTGATTGTCCACTTTGCTATCCCTTCTAGTAAACTTTGTTTGGTGCTTAAGTGTAATAAGGAACTATCACATATTTTTTTTTTTTTTTAAGACACAGTCTCGCTTATAGTACAGTGGTGCCATCATACAGTGGTGCAATCTCGGCTCACTGCAAACTCTACCTCCTACAGTCAAGCAATTCTCCTGCTTGAGCCTCCCAAGTAGCTGGGATTACACACGCCCACCACCACACCTGGCTAATTTTTTCATTTTTAGTAGAGACGAGGTTTCACCATTTTGGTTGGTCAGACTGATCTCGAACTCCTGACCTCAAGTGATCTGACCACGTCAGCCTCCCAAGGTGCTGGGATTACAGGCATGAGCCACCAGGCCACATATGCTTTTAAACACATATCTTGGCTCTCTTTGCCATGCTTTATTAGGTATTAAATAAGCTGTTTCAAATTATTTTGAATATTAAAATGATGAAGCTATGTCTTCAATGCTTTAAAACTACTCTCTCTCTCTCATTATTTGCCACAAGGAGACAAGAGAAACATGTAATTCCTAAGTTGGGCACGATGGCTCATGCCTGTAATCCCAAGACTTTGGGAGGCTGAGGTGGGCAATTACTTGAGGTCAGGAGTTTGAGACAAGCCTAGCCAACATGGTGAAACCCCGTCTCTACTAAAAATACAAAATAATTAGCAGGGTGTGGTGGCTTGTGCCTATAATCCCAGCTACTTAGAAGGCTGAGGCATGAGAATCGCTTGAACCTGGGAGGTAGAGGTTGCAGTGAACCAAGATTGCACCATTGCACTCTAGCCTGGGTGACACAGCAAGCCCTGTCTCAAAAAAAAAAAAAAAAAAAAAAGAGAGAGAGAGGGACAGAAAGAGAAACATGTAATTCTGAAGCCAAAGACAGATCTCGGAGTTCAAATTATTCTGATGACTCCTGACAAATTCTAATGTTTACCTGATCAAGCCCTTCCCCAGTCTTCCTGAGATTCTGTAACTGGTAAACATCTAGGGTTCTTCCATTATCTTGACAGCACAAATCAATTATAACACAGCCCTGGTCCTCAAAGGCATTGATTTGATGAAATGTAACAAAAGGTTTGCTGTAGTATCTCCCTGGAAGAAGCTGCAGGCAGGGGAAAACACACACAAACAATGAGAAAAAAAATTTTTTTGGTTTCTTTCTTTTTCCCTTTCCTTTGGGAAACAGGTCCAAAAAGTTCAAAATAAGAAAATTAGGAGAATTTTCCCCTCTGAAGCGGCAGGTCTAGTAGATATAAAAGTAGAATACAGAATGTAGAAGCAAATATGCTTTGATTTAAACGTTGCTTGCTTAAGCATCTCATCTCACATTAATCAATGAACTGGGGCTATTCGATATAGACCAATCAATTGTTACAACAAACTTAAAAACCCTCATGAAATATAGCCCAATGTTTTGAAGGATATGTAAATCCTGGATTCTAACTGCATGGTTAAATAGAAAATATTGCTACTCCATATGCTGATGATAAATTAAGTGACTAATTTTTTAAAAGTACAGTCATTACTAAATTTTTTTTGTAATGAGATCTAGGTAAATTTAAGACACTATCTCTTTAGAGAGGTAAAACAGGCAAATATAATAGTGCTATGAATCAGGAGTATAAAAAGATATTCAACCAACATGCTTGGACTTTAGTAGGATTGTCATATTCACGTATTAAGAAGCCAGAGGATCAACTAATTAAAGTATTACTGCAAATGTTACAGAACATTTCTCCACGAACAACACCCTCTTTAGCAACTATTATGATATGGAAAAAATCCATGCTAAGAGAGTTTCCTGGATGTCATTTTAATTGAATCAGATCATTAAAAAGATAAAATCATTTTCTATAATTTTCTAATATGCAAAATCCACCTTACTAATTAATAAATAGCTAGTTCAAGCTATAGAAGTAGGTAATATATTTGATTAAAAGTGTCTTATGCAAAGAATGCCCAGGGAAAATTTAAAAAATCAATTATATGGAAATGTGCCTTTGTGGCCAACAATTTTCATGATAAATATACTCAACATACTCCACCTGTCCAGTGTGTTTATCCACCACATGAAACTGTGTATTACACTGGGGTTCCCAGCTTATCCCATCTGAAAAGGCCTTTCCCCGAATTTTAGAAGTGGCAATTTCCCACAGATTCATCTTTAGAGGCTGTTCAATGAAGATTATATAGTTCCTTGTCATTCCTAAAAAGTTCCAGCAAACAATAAAAATGTTAATTGGCAAACTAGAGTTGTCTGAAATGTGACAGTTACAGGAGCTTGTCTGAATGCCTGGACATGTTACAGCTGCCCTAAACAAATGCCAGCCAGAAATACATGTGACCGAACAGAATAAACTTAACTGGCATCAGAACGCAACCTTGGTCTCATTATCACCATAGTCTGATAAACTATTAACACAACATTTGCCAAACCAGTCCTTCGGCTACAGCAACATCAAGGCAGGGCCCACTGAAATTTGACTTATCTCTGGACTCACCAAAGCTATGGTAGTAAGAAGGTGTCCCCTTTTCTGCAGAAGCAATAGAACATATCACCTGGGCTCCATGGATTGTCTCCCCAAGGTCCACCTTCTCTGGAGGAACCCGAATAACCTTATAGGAGAAACCTGAAAAATGGAAAATCCTATCTTTACTGTTTTACGTACATTCTAGATTAAAAGACAACCCTTGCACTTGTGGACTTGGCAAAAGCAATTAAGAGATTTATGCAACATGCATGACACTCTTACTTCCTGAAGGGTTATTTCAAACAAAGATTTGGATCTTAAATATATGTTAGCTCTATGAAAATAATTAGCTAAGGTTTTGAAACAGCACATCCAAAGTGATCAACCAATGATTCATTGTACTGCAATGCTAATTTCATCTCTAATTCATAGGAAACCTTAAGATAGCAGCCAGAAACATCCTCAAATTCTGTTGTTTCCCTCCCGTCCCCCTATTCCAACAACTACAGTCTCCATTCGCACTCATGTCCAACTCCTTCCCTCCAATCCTCTGGACCCTTAGGGTTACTCTGGATTCCATCCCATCCTGTCTCATCAATATTCTTTCATGCAATCATTCATCTGGCTATTGCTTACTAACTCTTCAAGAGTCAACTCAGATGTCCACTCCTCAAGAAATCTTCCCTGACTCTTCCCCACCCCAAAGGCATTTAGTGCTCCTACTGAACGTCCTCATTACATTCCATGTAGTCACAGCACATACCTCATTGTACTATAATTTTCTGCTTATTTATCTGCTTCCCAGTACAGTTCTTTATTTATTTATTCTGCAACTACTGCTTTTTGAGCACCCACTATATTCCAGACACCCTTCTGAGCGTTCTTAGTACTATTCTAGGCACCTGTATACAGAAATATGCAAAACAGACAAAAATCCCCCCATTCCTCCTCCTTCTTCTTCTTCATTTTTAAGAGACAGGGCCTTGCACTGCCACCCAGTATGGAGTACAGTGGTATCACAGCTCATTGCAACCTCGAACTCATGGCCTCAAGCAATCCTCCCACCTCAGCTTCCCAAAGTGCTATAATTACAGGTGTGAGCCACTGTGCTCAGACAAAATCTCTTATTTTGGAAAGCTCAAATTCTTGTACATCATTTAATAAGTAAAAATACAATGCATCAGATGACAATGAGAACTATAATGGAAAATAAGCCAAGGAATAAGGATCAGGAGTGATCATATGAGGAGTAGCGGCTACTGTTTACAACTTTAAATATGCTGGTCTGGAAAAGCTTCACTAAGTGAGTAACATTTGAGTAAAGACCTAAAGGAGGTGAGGAAGAAAGCCTTGAGGATACCTGGGAGAAATGCATTTCAGGTGGAGGGAAAAGCAAATGCAAAGGTTCTCAGCCAGGAGCACAATTGGAGTGTTTTAAGTATCAAAAAGGAGGAGGCCAGTGTGGCCCTTCATGATAAGTGAGGAGGAGAGTCTAGGAGATGAAGTCAGGGAGGTGGGTATGGGTTAAAAGGATCACTCTGATATTACAGTGCTGAAAAGAAACTGAAGCGGGGCAAGGGCAGAATCAGGGCAATTAGTTAAGGGGTTGTTGCAGTCATTCAAGTGAGAAGGGATGGTGACCCAGATGGTGACCATGGAGGTGGTGTGAAGTGGCTGGATTTTTGACATATTTTGAAGGCACTGCTGAACCTACTTTTTTTTGTTGTTTGAGACAGGGTCTCATTCTGTCACTCAGGCTGGAGTGCAGTGGTGCAAGCACGACCTACTGCAGCCTCAGTCTTCTGGGCTCAAGCAATACCCCTACCTCAGCCTACTCAGTAGCTGGGACCAAAGGCATGTGCCACTATGTCCAGCTAATTTTTGTATTTTTTGTAGAGATGAGGTCTTTTTATATTGTCCAGGCTGGTCTCAAACTCCTGAGCTCAAGCAATACTCCCACCTCGGGCTCCCAAAGTGCTGGAATTATAGGCATAAGCCATTGCACCTGGCCGTGAAATTACTTTTTGATCAACTGATGTAAGAGATAAATGTAAAGGATGATTCCACAGTTACTGTCCTTAGCAACTGGAAAGATGGAGTTCGTATGTCCTGAGATGGGGCAGATTCACCTTAAGGAGAGAAAGAAATAAGCCAGGCACAGTGATGCATGCCTACAGTCCAGCTGCTTGGGATGATCCCTTCAGCTCAGGAGTTCAAGTCTAACCTGAGCAACATAGCAAGACCCCATCTCTAATTGAAGAAAGAAGAAGAAGGAAGAAAAAGGAGGAATGAGGAAGAAAAGGAAGGAAGGAAGGGAGGGAGGGAGGGAGGGAGGGAGAGGGAGAGAGGGAGAGAAGGAAAAAAGGCAGACAGGCAAGGAAGAGAGAAGGAGGAGGAGGAGAGGAAGAGGTGGTGGTGGTAGTTTAGGAGAAAATATCAGGAGTCTGGTTTTGGACAAGTTAATTTCATAATGCCTATTATAAATCCTAGGAAGAATGCTGAGTAAGCAATTGGATATAAAATATTAGGGAGGTCTAGGTTGGGGATATAGATATGTTTTGAGAACCCACTATATACAAAACATCATGCTTTGTACATTGATGAGAAAAATATTAGACAAGCTCTATATTCCAAGTGTACTTTATTATTGTCTCTAACATTAGTATGAAGAACATATAAGTATTAAAAATTAACTGGATTGATTAATGTTTACAGAATTTTTATTAATTTTAAAAAACCTTTTAAAAATATCTTGAAAAGCTTAAAAAAAAGCTTTTTACCTAAAGGTAGCAATTACTAGCAAGTATTTTACTGTATTACAGTGAGAATCACTAAGTTTCCCCCAGATGTCTACCAGGTAGTTGAGCTCCCTGCAGTTGCATGCACATTGAGTTCCAGGTCAAAAACTTCTCACTGAACCAAATAATCAAGTGAATTTTAAAAAAGGAGATTCAGTGTTCATTGGGATTAGGAGACGATAAAGAGAAGAATTTCCTGTCTCAGTATTTGGATTACTCAATTCATGGAATTTAAACACATTAGTTAATGAACTGTTCTAACTGAAAGTCCTGAAAGCATTAGGCAAGACAGACACCCAGGAAACACCCAGCAGAGGAATGTCCAGAAAGATCGGACCTGCCCAATACTGTGAGTTGAACTCTGGGAGACTCTCCAGGAGTTTGCATAAACAGCGAACTGAGGCAAAGTAACAAGCACAGGCTCTCATGATTGGTGGCTGGGTTAATCAGTGAGGTCCAGGGGCCACTTGCACCAAGATCACCCAGAGACCATGTTAAAATGCAAATTCTTGGCCCTTTTTCAGTTCTACTAAACCAGAATCCCTGAAGACGAATAAAATCCAGATCATTCTATCTACATTCCAGATGATTTTTGGGCACACTAAAGGTTGAGAATCACAGATCTAGTTACTATTATTTTAGAATAGGTAATTTAGACTGGGTGCAGTGGCTCGCACCTGTAATCCCAGCACTTTGGGAGGCCAAGGCGGGCAGATTACTTGAGGTCAGGAGTTTGAAATCAGCCTGGCCAACGTGACTGAAACCCCATCTCTACTAAAAGTACAAAAATTAGCCGGGCATGGTGGCAGGCGCCTGTAATCTCAGCTACTTGTGAGGCTGAGGCAGGAGAATCACTTGAATCTGGGAGGTGAAGCTTGCAGTAAATTGAGGTCATGCCACTGCACTTCAGCCTGGGTGACAGAGCAAGCCTTCATCTAAAAAATATATATGTAATTTAGAATGGTGAAATAGTGTTTCTCATATTACAAATGCATTACAAAATTATCTACTTGGTTAACAGAGTTAATTCATTATGAAATGGATTTTTTTAAGGATCAAGATAGATGGAACGAAAACTGCTGGGTTCCTGGATCCATTTTGCTGAAACATTTTACTTAGAAGGATGTTTGCCGTTTCCTATAACAGTGTTGAAGAATCCATCCTTACCTGAGATCAAATAATAAAGAAAGGAGAGAGAGCTGCGTGTAGAGGTATCCAGGGCACCCTCTCTCTACTCGAGCCAGTAAAAAACAAACCTGTAGTATTCATCTTCATATACACTCAGAGATGTAAATACAGAGAAATACAGAGGAGCAAGCCACAAAGCCAATTACATACCAAAGTTATACCATTAACCTATACAAAGATTTCATAGGTTGTAGATGGTAGATTGATAGCTAAGAGAGAGATAGTCCAAAATATCTAATGCAGTAGTCCCCCCTGTATCCAGGGGGGACACACTGTTTTTTTCCTTTACATATATACTTATGATAAAGTTTAATTTCTAAATTAGGCACGGTAAGAGATTAACAATAACTAATAAAATAAAATAATTATAACAATATACAGTAATAAAAATTATGTGAATGTGGTCTTTATCTCACAAAATATTGTAATATATTCAGACTGGATAACTGAAACTGTGAAAGTGAAACCACAGATAAAGGGGGCCTAGGGGGTCTACTATACTTACTTACACATCCTCTTCAAACAGGGAGAGACATGTGTATTCAAGAATAGAACCTGAATTTGCATGCCCTTAGAAGAGTGGATAGATAGGTAAAAAAGCCTTAACAAGCAGAGAAAGACATGGTGAACAGGTGAAGACTGAATATTTTTAAAATACCAATAGAGTCTTCTGCACTCCGTGATGAGTAACTAATGAGATGGTCTAACAGTAACCACCAAGCAAGACTTTGTGTGTGTGACTCTAAGCTTACTAGAGCAAGTCATTTAGACCTCCTCAAGGTTCACTGCCTTTGTAAAACCAAGGTAATATCAGCATCTTTCTCAGAGATTTGGCACAAGGATTAAATGAGAAAATATGGAGAAAAATGTTTAACACCAGCACATAGTAGATACTCAATAAAAGTTAGCTATCATTATTAGCTATCAGAACTTTCAGGAGCAGATTGGAGACCAGGAAAGAGGTGTGACTTAAGCAGTTGTGCATGCAACCCCACTATGACCTTAACTTACTTTGTAGTGTATTACTTTCATGGTAAAAATAAATTTCTTCCCTATATGATAGACAGTGTACCTTCCCTGTATCTCTTGACTGCAACATTCTAAATTTCTTATACTTACAATATGGTATTTCTTTAAAATTCCAGTTTGAGGCCGGGTGCAGTGGCTCACGCCTGTAATCCCAGCACTTTGGGAGGCTGAGGCGGGTAGATCATGATGTCAGAATTTCAACACCAGCCTGACCAATATGCTGAAACCCCCATCTCTACTAAAAATACAAAAATTAGCTGGGCGTGGTGGTGCATGCCTGCAGTCCCAGCTACTCAGGAGGCTGAGGCAGAAGAATCACTTGAACCCAGGAGGTGGAGTTTGCAGTGAGCTGAGATCATGCCGCTGCACTCCAGCCTGGGCGACAGAGTGAGGTTCCATCTCAAAAAAAAAAAAAATTCCAGTTTAAGAAATATGTACTGGAAATTCCTACAATGCTTGTGAGCCACAGGCACAATGAAATGTAAAAATGTGAGTTAAACTAAAAAGATCAGATAGAAAATCAGCTGCTAAACATAGGTGCAAATAGACCATAGAACAGATATTTAATGATAAATCATATATTTTAAGTTGAATAATGCTATTTTAGAGAGTTCCTTCCAAACTTCTCAAATGATGTTTCATATGTTTACATCTTAACTATAATTGAACCCCAAGAAGACAGTTAACACCCAATTATTTCTTTTCTCTCACTTTTTTTTTTTTTTTTTTTTTGAGACAGGGTCTGGTTGTGTTGCCTAGGCTGAAGGGCAATGGTGCAGTCATGGCTCACTACAACCTCAAACTCCTGGGCTCAAGGAATCCTCCCAAGTAGCTGGGACCATAGGTGTGCCCTATCACACCTGGCTAATTTTTTTTCTTTTTGCACAAAATGGGGTCTCACTTTGTTGCCCAGGCTGGTGTCGAACTCCTGGGCTCAAGCAATCCTCCTGCCTTGTGCTCCCAAAGGGCTGAGATTACAAGTGTATGCCACAGCGCCTGGGCTCAATTATTTCTAAAAAGACCTCTACTGCAACTTTACCATATGGCCCAAAGGAGTTCCCCATATTGTATGCTGTTCCATCCGGGTCATAATGAGGATGTGCAGTTGCTCCATTCACAGCAATAAATTTGCTCCAATCTACCTGCAAATTTGAGACCATTGGAGATTTTTAATGGGCAGATCTCTATTTATATGCATACGTAGTAGAAATATCAAATATTTTTTAAAATATGATATGAAAACTGCAATCCAAGCCCTTATTTCTTGCGTCTGAGAAATAAAAATTATTTTTCCCAGTAAAAAAATCAAGACTAAAAGCAACAAACAAAAACTCACCACCACTACTAACAACAAAACCACCCTGAATAAATTTGTCTAATAGCACAGGAAAATTCAAAAGAAGCATAAGAATTAAAATTAAAAATCTAGTCTAAAATTTTCTTTTCAATTAATATGTTATGTGAAGGCAATACAGGTATAGGCAACCTCCAGTCCAACACTAACTAAGAAGAACAGCAACTAGCTAAAGTAGATCAGTATAATTCTATTTCTCCTTTACCCTAGCCTTCAGATATTAGGCCTAAGGAAGAAGTTTAGAATTGTCTCTAAGGAAAACCAACCCACAGGCCATTCTAATCAGGCCAGAGCGTAAAGGTGACCTGCATCAATGAATAACTTTGTTTTTGTTTTTGTGTGGCTAAGGCTCCGATTTCTTCTTGATATGTACTAGATACTCTAAAAAGTATTTCAAATGGAAAAAAAAATGTTAGGATCTATTTTATTCATTTCGTTAACCTGTACTTTACCTTTTCTGTTTTTTCCAGAGTTTCAATATCCACTTTATTCATAAAGTTGGTCTCAGTGGAGAGGTAGTAATCACCCTTGTACTGCACATAGTTGACATTAGTGTTGTCAGTCATGGCTGAAACCAAACCCCAGAGTTATTTAAGTACCACAGCTTACTACAGCAGATGCTAAGCACACACTCAAAGGGAGAAAGCAGTTTCAACATCCTCTTACATACACAAAAAAATCTACTTTCAAGATTTATGTTTCTATAGATGGTCATATATCACAACAGTTTAAATAATCATGACTATCGGCCGGGCACGGTGGCTCGAGCCTGTAATCCCAGCACTTTGGGAGGCCGAGGCGGGTGGATCACGAGGTCAAGAGATCGAGACCATCCTGGTCAACATGGTGAAACCCCGTCTCTACTAAAAATACAAAAAATTAGCTGGGCATGGTGGTGCGTGCCTGTAATCCCAGCTACTCAGGAGGCTGAGGCTGGAGAATTGCCTGAGCCCAGGAGGCGGAGGTTGTGGTGAGTCGAGATCGCGCCATTGCACTCCAGCCTGGGTAACATGAGTGAAACTCCGTCTCAAAAAATAATAATAATAATAATAATAATCATGACTATCACCTGCAGCTTACCTGGCGGCTCAAACCTGGACAGGAAACGTTCAAAAACATTCTTGCAGGGATCTGGGAGAGCCAGTGTGCCAAATTCCGAGATTACAATTCGGTTTTGAGCACTATTAGCCTTATATGTATCGCTCTGTAGAAACTTGCTCCTGTATGTCACTGTGCCCTCTGCCATCCTGAACTGGTGAAGCAATGCCATCCCATCAAACCAATGATTGTATCTTCAAACAGGAGAACATAAATAAATAAATATTAGTAAGAAAACATGGGGTAAAAATAAGAGACAGAGTGATAGATCTTCATTTCAAATATAAAGATAAGGAAATGGGGCAGGTTCCCAGCACAATCTGAGTAGTCAGAGAATTTGAAATTTTGGAAAGATAACATTTTGGGTATATCTTAGGCATAAAAGGAAAGAATAATTTACATCCTCCTGACCCTTACCCCTGTCAAGAAGACCCTCACATTTTAGAAAACTCCTATGATGGTGAATCCTAAGAAAATTCTGATCTTTACTCTATGACTAAGAGAATAGCATGAGAGGTTATGGGATGCCTGACATTTACCAAATCAGAATAAGTTCCAGGCTGGGCACAGTGGCTCACATCTGTAATTCCAGCAATTTAGGATGCTGAGGTGGGTGGATTGCTTGAGACCAGCCTGGGCAACATGGCAAAACCCCATCTCATTAAAAAAAAAAAAAAAGAAAGAAAGAAAAGGAATGAATTCCTAAGCTTTTAGAAATAGTTATTTATCTTCATATCTTGTTAAGTGTTAACGTTTCTGTTTACTTTAAAATTTTTCAGCTTTATCAAGATTATGCAAAGTACACAAAGAAGATGACTGTCCTTCCTAGATAATCATTCTTGTCCATATGATTACACTAGAAATGATCTACTTATATAGTTGAACATTGAAAACCGTAAGGAAAAGTTTGTGGCTTCACTTTTTAAATGGTTAATTATATGGTCTCTTCTTTCATGTGCTTAACACATTGAATTCTTAATGTTCTCGGTTTGGATAAACAAAGCTAACATCATTGTCTTAAAAGGCAATGATTCCTGAAAACAGAGACTGGAAAAGATATTTGTACACCCATGTTCACAGCAACATTATTCACAATAGCCAAAGGGTGGAAGCAACTCAAGTGTCCATCAGTGGTTGAATGCATAAACAAAATGTTTACATTGCAAGGATTCAGAGCATGCTACGCCAAAATATGCCACTTTAACATACGATTATTTTGAGTTAAAAGGCACTTGAAAAACAGCAGATGCATGAAGAGCACCCTGACCTCTTTATTCCTTCCTGAAAGCAGGAGATAAAACTCCCATGTGAAAGGTGCCCTCCCTGTACCAGAGATATTTATATCAGCACAGGTGAGGAGTTGAGGCTGAGAAAATGAGAAAAAGCTGTGCAAATGAACCTTGTTAAACTAACCCTTTATCTCATGGTCACTTTCCCACAGTTAACTGCCCTGGCGCATATTCCTTTGTCTTGTCACATTTTCACCTTTTACTACTCTTTGTCCAACCTAGTTTATAAGCTTTCAGCCCTAACTTATCCTTTGGCTCTTCATTTCTCTTGGGGGATTGGGAGGGTGTTCTAAGGTACAATGTAAAACTTACTAAATAAATTTTGTATGATTTTCTCTTATTAATCTGTCCTATGTCAGTTTAATTCTTGGGCTCAGCTGGAGACCCTACGTGGTAGGAGGGAAAATTTTGCCTCCCCAAAAACCTATACTGGAATATTACTTATCCTTTAAAACAAAGGAAATCCTGTCACATGTTACAACATGAAAGAACCATTGAGAATATTATGCTATATGAAATATGCCAGTCATAAAAAGACAAATACTGTATGATTCCACTTATGTAAGGTATTTAAAGTAGTCAAATTCATAAAAACATAAAGTAGAACAGTAGTTAACAGGAGTAAGGAGAAATGAAGAGTTGCTGTTTAATGAGCATAGAGTTTCAATTTCACAAAATGAAAAAGTTCTAAAGATCTGTTTCACAACAAGATGAATATATTTAACAGTACTTAACTATATACTTAAAAGTGGTTAGGATAGTAAATTTTATGTTATATGTATTTTACCAGAATTTTTTTAATTGCAGGAAAGAAAAAAGAAAAAGTCCTTCTTTAGCCCAATGACTTGGGATGCCAGTGTTATCAGATAACTAAATTTCCTTAAGTTCCTGGGTTTACTTCTGGTCTTTCTATGTCATTCATCTATTGGTCTATTCTTGCACCAATATCACAATGTTTTCATTGTAAAGGCTTTATGGTGTATTTTAATATTTGGTAGGGCTAGTTGCACCCTCTGAAAAAATGTTTAGTGCTTTCTTGTCAATTCTTACATATTTATCGTGCTATATGAACTTTAGGTATCAATTGGTCCAACTTTCCTAAAAAGCTTGTTGGAATTTTTATTAAGATTTTATTGGATTTATAAATGGACTCAGGGAGAACTAGTACATCTCTATGATGTGCAATTATTCTATTCAAGAACAGGGATGGTCTTTCCATTTGTTCAAATTTGTCTTCCAAGAGTGTTTTAAAGTTTGCATATTTCTAAATTCATTGCTAAGTAATCTTCTTTGTTGCAATTGTGAATGAAGTTTCTCTGCCATTATGTTCTCTGATTATTGCTTGCATATATGAAGGATATGATTTCAGTATGTTAATTTTATATCCTGTGACCTTATCTTTTATTGTTACATTTAGTTTTATCAGTGATTCTCTATGGTTTTCCAGGATTACTATTATATCATCTGCAAAAAGAGATAATTTCACTTTACTAGTGCTTGTGCCTCTGGTCAATGTCTTTCATTTAACTGCATTGTTACATCTGGTACAATGTTTAACAGTAGTGAAGATACTGACCATCCTTTCCTGTTTCTGGACTTGAAGAAAATACTGGTTTATTTTCCAATTTAGTATTACTGCTTGTAGCACCAAGATACAATAGAGATTTATAAGATATTTATGATATACATGACATATATATATACCAAGATATATATATTAAAAAATACATACATATAAAATCATATTTAGAAACTATCCAACAAGCCCTATTTTCTTAAGCAATTTTTAGGAAGAATGGGTGTTAAATTTTCACAAAAGCTTTTTCAACCTTTATGGAGATAATTCTGTGATTATTTTTCCTGGAACTTATTAATATGGGGTATTATATTAATGTATTTACTAATAATAAGCCCACCTCCTCCTATTCTTGAAATTAATCCTACCTGATCATAATTTTATTTTAATGTGTTATTGAATTCTGTTTCTTACCAAAATATTTATTAGTCCTATATTAGTATTATATTTAGTACTTTTTTTTTTTAAGAGACAGGGTCTTGCTTGGTGGCCCAGGCTGAAGTGTAGTGGTACTATCATAGCTCACCACATCCTCAAACTTCTGGGCTGAAGTGATCCTCCCACCTCAGCCTCCCAAGTAGCTGAAACTACAGGAACATGCCACCACACTTGGCTACTTTTTAAATTTTTTTGCAAAGATGGAGGGAGTCTCACTATGTTGCCCAGGCTGGTCTTGAGCTCCTGGCCTCAAGAAATCCTCCTGCGTCAGTATCCCAAAGTACTGGGATTACAGGTGTGAGCCATGGTGTTTGGCCTATTTTGTACTTTTTCATGGATAGTCATAACTAATATTAGTCTGCAATTTTCTTTTTTACATTATCTTTGTCATACTTAGATATAAATGTGATGCTTCCTTCATAAAAAACAATTGGGAAGTTTCCCTTCATTTTTGATGCTCTGAAATAATTTATAAAGTATTGGGACTATCTCACATTTGAAGATTTGGTAGAATTCTGTGAAATAATCTGGGCCTGCTAATTTTTTTGAGAAATATTTACTTAACAAGGTTCCTATTTCTTCTACAGAAACTGGTCTACTTAAAACTTCCCTCTCTATCAATTTGGTTTAATTCATTTATTTTTATTTTTGTATAAGGCCTGGCTATGGTGCCCAGGCTGGTCTCGAACTCCTTTCCTCAAGCAATCCTCCTCCCACACCCTCCCAAAGTGCTGAAGTTATCCTACCTTAACCTCCCAAAGTGCTGGAATCACAGGCATGAGCCGCCATGGCTGGCCTCTATCAATTTTGGTAATCTATTTTCCCTAAAGAATTATCCATTTTATCAAGGTTTTCAAATGTATTTGCATAAAGGCCTTCAAAGTCTCTTATAATTAATTTTTTTCTGCTTCAATGATTTCTTCTGCATTGTCATTTTATACTTTGTATATTTGTGCCTTTTCCCTTTTTCTTCTTGAGCATGTAAACTAATGGCTTGTCTACCTTGGCACTATTTTTCAAAAAAATGTACAATAATTTCAAGAATTTCTGCTACTTATTGTATTTCAACTTGTTAGATTCTGTCTCAAGAGATCCTGTCATTCCATGCATTCATTTATTCAAGTCAACATATTCTTGAGTCCCTACTATCTGCCAGGCATTGTGCCAAGGTCAGCACTTACAGGCACATAAATAATGGATACAAAGTAATTGCTGCTACAAGGGAGAAATGTTATTTTTTTTTAAAAGCTATTTATGCAGAGAAGGAGCAACAGGATGGAAGGCCAGGGGAATCAGGAAAAGGTCAAAAGGGAAGGAGACATTTTGCTGTTCCTTTAAGGATGTCTGCCAGTTGCAGAGGGGACATGGGCAGGGGTGATGGAAGGAGGAAGGGTTGGAAGACATATAGTATCTCAGAGGAACAGCCAGGTGAGGAGGTAGCGTGTGGGAGGAGCTGTCAGTGGCAGGTGGTGATGTTGAGAAACAGGTCAGCCCCGACCACCAGCACTTAGACTAAGGCTTAATGACCTTCAACAGGAAAGTGTGAAGTTGTGAAACAGGAGAGTGAAACTGTATGACCGGCATCCTGGAATAAAAAGAACAGCATGCAGATCGAAGAAGGCAACGAGGAGCCCAGGCAATAATTCAAGCAAAGAAGATAAGCACCTAAAGTGAAGCAGCACCAGTGAGCAAAGGACAAACTCCAGAAACAAGTCAGAGATGACTGACAGGATGTAGGCAGCGACGAAAGGAGAGGAGCCAGAAAGTCAGGCCTGAATGACCGGCTGGCTGGTGATGCTTTAACTGGGATGGAGAGGTCATGAAGAGCAGCACTGGGGACAAGTCAACAGCTTGGTTTTGAGAGTCTGAGCTATTTGTAGAACACCAGCGT